TAAAAAAAACAGAGCTATTTCTACGATCAGTGGGCTTTGTTACAGCGGGACGAAGGGCCAGACATGGCCTGTGTTAGGCCAGGTACCAGAGGGTCCCCGCAGTACAATACCCACCAGTGGCCAACCCCACGACACTCGCTGTTTAGTTTAACGCCTTAAGGGGCGGCACTAATAAATAACGCCTTCACTGTAATTCTATCCACGCAATCCATACTCCCGCAACTATATCACTGTTGCCCTTTCGCCAGTTTCGGCTCCTTCGCGAAGGCTCTAAGAATTGGCTTCATCTTTCCGTTTGGCCCACCGAAGATTTCCAACCTCTCTTCTTGCGTCATTGGCCGCCCGCGGGCCGCGGAGCTTCTGTTTGGCCCAAAGCGAGAGCATCCTGTCGAGTTCATTCCAGCCGGCCTCGGGCGAGCGGCAGCAAGGCGTCATGGACAGAAGCGGCCGTAATAATACATATACAGTAAAAACCGAAATGGGTGTCGCGGGTGAACACCTACATAACAAAGATAGCGGGTAACAGCCAAAAACAGCTTGTACCTGCTAAGTACCTTTTCGCCCACCCTTAACAGGGCTTAATGGCTAGTTGCCGCTTAATGCTCTACTAGCTATTTTCGCCCAAGTCATCGTTAACGGAGGCTCTGAAAGGTACGAAAAGGCGGTCTTCTCTGAGAACATGTAGCCTGAAGCATCTGTCTCAAAGCCTTCCTCATTGTAGTAGGCGCCTTGGCTAGTCAGGAACTGTGATGCATCTCAGCCCCAGTGTACCTATATTTGGTGGGAATTACCACCGGATTTGGTGGCAATCTCGCAGGCGTAACAGATAATAGAAAACTTCAGAAAATTTATTACTTAACAAAAATGATAAAGCAAAATAACAGAGTTCTTCAGGTTAAGGCTTAACTTTCACAGCGGCCGACCATGTTAGTGGGGTTTTGCTATCAGATTCCATCTTTATGTCGCCGCCGACAATGATGTCTGCCGTGCCAATCTTGCCTTTTCCTTCTACACCTAAGCAAACCGCCCAATTCAGTCCAACATCAGACTGCAATACGTCAACCTGCGAGCGCGCAGAGACGCGACTGCTTGCCTTTTGGCAATGTCGAACAGTAAGCGTGGAGTAGCGGGAGTCAGGTGTGAACATGTTGTGGCGGCCGACCTCAAGTGTAGTCCTGGAATCAGTTGACCAGTCCTTTTCCAATTTGCCTGTGATGGAGAGGTCTAGGGCCGCAAGACTGTCGTTCACCGGCCAGCCACGGATGACGCGGCTGCCCTCTGGAGCAACAAAGAGGGGGGCATAGCCGCCAATCGTGACCCTTGCAGGGCCGTCTCTGGCCGTCTGCTTCTTACGCATAAGTGCGTCAGTGTCAACTGTATACTCACAGCTGAAAATGGTCTTCGACATGGCGAGATCTAGTGGCTCAACACTAGCGATGCCCTTGCCTTTGGCGAACGTGGCAGACAGCCGCGGCATGCGTGCTTCGAAATGGTTTGCCCTGTGGTTACTCACTTCGCCGCTATAGTCCGCTGACAGACCGACATCGTAGCCTGGCTCTTGCCTGCATACAAATGCCTTGCCGCCAAATCGGACGTCGACAGGTATCGAGTCAGAGCCGATTGTCTTGTCCAAGAAATTGAACGTTTTTGGCGCATGGATTTCGACTCTCGGCCGAATGTTGTAGTCCCACTTGCCCACTGCCAGATTAGGCTTGGATATGTCCACATCGCCAATGCTGGGCTTTGTGCTCAGAGAAGGGATTTTTTCACAAGAAAATGCAGGCTCGTGGGGAAACAAAGAACCAGCGTAGAATGCAGGGCCTGGAAAAATAGCAGTGTCAGCGGCAAATGCAGGTCCTCGAGCGAAGGATGGGCCCGGAGAAAATGCAGATGCTGCTGCGTGAGAGGAAAAGCCACTGTCAAAACGAGGACGGCGACCGCTGAAAGGGCTAGCATCACTCGGAAACGCAGCACCGTTATAGCTGTTGCTACCTCCGAAGCTTGCGCCAAAGTACGAATATTCTTCATCGTCAGCACGGCCAAAAGATGGGCCTGAGCTGGTGCTCATAGAGCCGCCCATGATGGAGCCTGTGTTGGAACAAAGTTGAGAAATGAGTATTTGACGACCACGGCGGTCAAGTAACGAAAATGTTTCCTCTGCATTCAATGCCCCAAGGTCTTCTTCGCTCTCTTGAGACGCAACGGCGGCCTCTATTTATAGGCAAGTTGGGCTGTAAAGTCGCCCGGTTTTCTGTTATACAGCTGCGCTGCTGGCTGCCCATCGGCATGCCATAAAATCGACGCGCCGGTCTTTGGACGAACACGTGCGCGTTTCGTAGGTAGAGAAACTCGCAGCAGCCTCACCCACGAACGGTGCTCTGGTGCGTGACTTGCCTCCTGTGCTTTCGAGAGGGGGGTTGCCAACGGCCATGGCATTCTGGGAACCCCTGCAAGAGACAAGCATGCCTCGCCATCTCTCAAAAGCATTTGGACAGCCCGCATCAAGTGTGTCTTCACGCCTTGCTCTTCCCTCCGCAATCTTGCCCACCTCTTTCCGTCCTCGTACAGCACAGAGCACCTTCAGCTGATGTGGGTGAGCCAACCACCACGCGCATATCACGCTCAGTGACATCATGCTGCTTCGTGGCCAGTACCAGAGAGCCATCTCGCGTCGTTTACTTTGCCACAAAACGGGCGTCGCCAGACGCGAAGAACAAAGATTCTGTTTGCGGCTGAGCTTGACTCGCATCACTCGGTTGATACACTCGCCAGCTGCGGTGACAAAGGTGTGGATGTTCTGTCTGCTACCCTCTGCCGTAGCGACATACAGATGCTGCATGCATATTTCCGCGTCTGTTTCGATGCGACATTCGAATTCTCAGTTGCAACCGTCGATTGTAATCGTATTCATGTGTCCGAATCCATCGCTGCCGTGGCCTGGCTCGACCTTCTGCGCGGTAACGTTGCAAAATTTCTTTGTTGTAGCGTCAACACGCTGGAGAGGGTGTCTGCGGTGTGCAGTATGCATCCTCCCTCCTCACCGCCTCATAGCCTTCCAATTCTTAAATCGAGGCGGTGCAGGAGCAGTGCAAATCTTTGCCCGTTCGGAATCGGTGTCCCACCACCCCCCAGACCAAATATCTCCGGCGTCACATATGAGGGACAATAAATGTACGCCAAGGGACAGGCGTCTGTGTTTTTTTGGCGTGACATCTGGCTTGCCGTCTCTCCACAAACCGGTTATGTAGATGGCCTCCGCAAAGTAGCTAGCGGGGCCCATCAACTAGACGCGCTGGAAGTACGCTTGAAGACACGCCAGAGGCACGCTAGAGGCACGCTTAAACGCGCTGGAGGCACGCTGGAAGGCGGTTGTTGTGATAGAGACTCTAAGAGAGTGACTTTGATGAACTCCTGAGCTCTGATCGGTCTATCAAGACCCGTAAAATACCTTTATAGGCAATAGTTACGTAACAAGATTCGAATTCTACGTTACAAATTTCAGCCCTCCATCAACTTGTCAGCGCGGGCATACCCGCTGAAAGAAGTGGCGGTGCAGAATGCGTCGGTAAAAGATATGTTGGTAAAAGACGTGTCTTCTGGCGTGTGATCCGCGTCCAGAGACGGCACGCCTGCAGCCATACTATGCTTGAGGTATTTATGTGTGGAACATTTATTCTTGCTCTTTCTGGTGTCTTGATATAAGGTTGGCTGTGGGTGTGGATTTTGCTACGAAAGTGCAAGTATTAAGTAAGTGTACTGTTGATGGAAATAAGAGGCTTATAGCGCAGATATTTGGCAATTTCTACAGAGCACCACGCTGACGCCTCGCTGCAAGGTAGGCTCAATAGCCATTCGGACCTAGGGCCGGCTGTCATTATGACTCGCGGGATTTGAGGTCTTCGTCGAATTGGCTTCAGGGATTAATTGATCCATTCAATCCTGACCAATCTGTCAATTTTTGAGGTTATTGAAGAAGGTTGCGGAGACCTGTTGTTGCTGGCCGAGTGTTGAGGTTGAGAGTGGGAGACAGCTAAGTTCATGCTGCATACATCCACAGAAAGATGTGCCTTCGTGCCCTCAGAGCCACAGTATTGTGTGTAACGATGAATTTGATGAATGCAATTGGTAAAACTTTAAGCGACAACTACCGGTACTGTAGCCGTTAGGTCCTGTTAAGAGCGGACGAGAAGGTACTTAGCAGGTAAAAGCTATTCTTGGCTGCTCAGTAAGTTTGTTATGTAGGTATTCACCCCCGACACCCATTGCGGTTATTACGGTAGTCCCTTTTGACCGAGGCAACGTAATTCACCCAGTCATTTGTTTCGACGTCGAGGTCATAGTCACCAATATTCCATATAAGCCCACAGTTGCGCTCGATACGCTGGCCTTGCTCGTCAGGCATATTTTCAGGTTGTTATAAATGGCTTTGGACAGCGATACGGGAAAATCTTGAAACATGATTTCAGCGTCATCGTTCATATACTACAGCGCTTGGTAGTATGGCCATCTCTTCTTCCTGGGCACCAACGTGTGCTAGACAACTCGTTCCCTTGCATGGCTCTGGGCTCTTGGAGCGTGTCTTGGTGGTTATCAGGCCTTTCAAACATGCAAAGGCAGGGTTGCGTCCTTTGAAGTGATTAGTTGTGGTCTAGCACTCTCTTTCACCGCCAATTTAGATGTTCGCGGCCCGGTTGAGCGATGTTGCAAGGGATGAGCTGTTGCGTCAGCGAGGTAGAAGACCCGGAGTTCGAGCGAGCGAGGGCCTACCACTAGTTAGTGATGCATGTCACACTGTTTCGTGAGCTGTCCACACAATTCTGAGAGCAACAAAGTACTCGGAGCCGGACCACTTCCGTCTTGAGCTTCCAAGTTCGTGTGATAATCGCTCAGCTTCATCCACACTGACGAAGGCCTCGGGCCTTTGACTCCGATTTATGGAGTTCACGAGCGATCGCTTTTGACCATGATATCGCAGGCTAAGTGCTTGCAGCAGAGTATAATTTAGACATCGGTCGCAGCTTGGGTAGACGAGTCAGCGGTCGAATTTGGACAGTAGCGGTGGTGGCCCACTGCTCCTTTAGCATCCATTCTGCAGAACTTTGGTCGCTAGAATGATTGTAGATTGGTGCAAATCATCTAATGTATGAGCTCTACTGACAGCGACACCGTGAACCCATGAGACAGACGACACCAAGAGCGGGAGCTGCAACAAGACCTGCCGTTGCCGCTCTAATTACTCCTACTTCGGGTCCTCCTTGCCACGGGAACACTCTGCTGGGGTACAGACCCTCGCGAGACAGAATGGCTTTCTCGGCGATTGGTTGGGGTGAGCGTTTTACGAAGACCCAGCTGGGGGTGCTATGACCGAACTGCTTGGCGTTTAATGGGCGTTGGGCAGCAAGAATGGCGGACTTTCGGCCTTATTCTAGCAGCTGCAGGCCAGCCTGCAGCGACCATCCCCAATCTTTTGGTGCCGCGCCTGCCAGTTGCTCAGGACAAGCGAATATTCGGCAGATTAATTTAGTAAAGCAGGGCTGCTACAGCTGCTAAACGTTGGCATCGCTACGTATGATGTACACCACTTGAGCTTCGTGCAAACTGGCACCAGCTACGATGAGTTCTTTGGCCACCGTTATCGACACCATGCTGACTGGGTGCGGGAGCTGCAGAGATAATTTGGCGACGCCACAATCTGCAGGTCTTACTCACTGAGGCGATGCTTGCAGCATGCCGCGGGGCCTGCCAGTTTTCCTAAACCTGCATGATTTGTGTCTGGCAGGCGTTGGTCAGAAACGATCTGCTGCGTAGGCACGAATGCGCTTTCCCCCAAGGTTAACGGGAGAATTACGAGAACATACTTAAAGAGACGACTTGCTGAATTTACAACCGGAGTCGCTTCGCAATGATTGCCCATTCAATTTTGCTACTTTGAAATTACCGTCATGTATGCTTTGCAAGATGTCCCTGGAAAGGGCAAAGGGCTCGTCGCTACCGAAATGATCCCGAATGGTACACGAATCTTATGCGAAAAACCCATTCTGTGGATACCTTACAAAGGGCTAAAAAGTAAAGAGATGGAAAGTGTGGTATTCCGAAAGACCCAGGCTCTCGACGACACTCAACTAGACATTGTCCTATCGCTTCGAAACGTCCATGAGTTCAACAGTGTATCTGAGCAGTATGCAGGAATCATCCGAACAAATGGACTACCCATAGGGGCAGATGGATCGGATGCAGGGATTTTCGAGCATGCCTGTCGCATCAATCACGCCTGTAGTAACAATGCACAAAAGAGTTGGAACGAGAATCTTAAGCGACATACGGTGCATGCACTGCGTGACATACAGCAAGGCGAGGAGATCACCATCTTTTACCTGCGCACCCTCGAGAGCCGCAGCCGGAGACAAGCCAACTTGAAAGCAAAGTTTCTCTTCACTTGTTCTTGCAGTCTCTGTGCGTTGGGGCGAAAAGAGAGCCGCGAAAGCGATGTCAGACTAGGAGCCATCTTGAGGCTTGAAAGTCTGATCTCGCAGGGAGGATTGGAAGCGATCTTGACATCACTGCTGCAGATGCTGCGCTATTCAGATGAGCAGATTCAGTGTTACGAGCAGCACGGGCCAGGGGATGCAGGTCTGGCTCGCGCTTTTTTTGACGCTGCTCAGATGGTCATCACACATGGAGACCTAGCGCGAGGAAGGATATTTGCAAGGAAAGCAATATCTGAGTGGGAAAGGACTGCAGGCAACGACTGCATGGAGGTCATACATCACCGAAAGCTATCCGAGGATCCCTCACGATCAGAACTATACGGCCTATCTATGAAATGGAAAACCGGAGTGAGTGATACTCCGACTGGACTGCAGCCGAACGCTTTTGAGGACTGGCTCTGGAGAAGAAAAGCGACAAACAAGAAGAGAAATGCAAAGGCTCACGACAAGAAAAAACATATTCAGACGCTGTTTACCATGAGAGAAATTCCGGGTAAAGGCCAAGGTATCGTCGCAACTACGAAAATCCACAAAGGTACTCGCATACTAGCCGAAAGCCCGTTATTCATTGTGCAAAAAAAACAACCGAACGTCAAGGTCGCGGGAGTCGACATTTGTCGAGAGATTGAACGTCTTAGCGACAAGCAGAAGCAGGATTTCTTTGCGTTGCATAACAGCCACGGAAACCGGTATACCCCAGAGTTAGGCATTTGCAAGACCAATGCGCTACCACTGGGGTCCGAAGCCACGGAAGGGGGCCTTTTTCTCCAAGCATCCAGAATCAACCATTCTTGCCGGCACAATGCACAGAATACCTGGAACGAGAGACTTAACAAGATCACCATTCATGTGTTCCGAGATATCGAAGAGGGAGAAGAAATCACCATATCGTACCTAAGCGGGTCAAGTAAGTATGCCGATAGACAGCTTCGCCTCGAAAGCGCTTTTGGATTCCGCTGCTCTTGCGAGCTTTGCATCATGCCCTCGGTCATCTCTTGCAGAGCGATGAGAGGCTCGCAAAGATTGAAAGCCTTGACAAGAAAATTGGCGATGGCATAAGTATCATTTCGACCCCACTTGCCTCGCTTGGTGCCGCGCGCTCACTCCTTCAACTCGTTGAGGAGGAGGGCATAGCTGATGCTAGAGTGCCGAGGGTTTATTATGACGCATTCCAGATTGCCATAGCGAATGGCGATCAAGCGAGGGCCAGAGTGTTTGCCCAGCGGGCAAAGGATGCATGGGTGATTTTGCAGGGTGATGACGGTCCTGATGCAATACGGCTAGGCAAATACGCAGACTCTCCGGCTGCGCATAGGCTCTTTGGCACAGCGGACAAATGGAAGCAGGCGGTAGCGAAGGTCCCCACGGAGCTGAATGCTCAAGATTTTGAAAGTTGGCTGTGGAAGCAGCGACGATAAAAGATCCAGACCAGCAAAGCTAGATTATTGAACTACCACGATTCAGATTGCAACAAGAAACCCTAATACTAATACATCAGATGCCTAAGTTACTGTACTTCATTTTCTTCTTGTACAAACATGGGAGCTACAAGCGTTCTAATCTGCGTCGTACGGCTTCACGGCTTTTCTGTTCTGAGGGCTCTCATTGCCGGCCCCTTCAATTCTGTGCCATCTTTCTACGGAATTGGATGAAGGCTCTCTATCGGAAGGGAACACCTTGCTCTGAAGTGCGCTCCTTATAAGTCAACGAAAGCAGGATCAAGTGACGAGGTCGAAACCCGAAAAATGTATGAAGGTCGGCAATGTGATTGTGCAGCCAGCCTGGTCATCATGCGCGAACCTGTTAAGTTCGCGAACACACGGCATGTCCGAAGCATCTTTGCCGACAAAGCGATGTGCCGATTTGTGCACGCGTTCACCATCACCGTTGACTGTGCCTGGGGGACGCTCACTGATCGATACTATTCCTGCGTAGCGCACCAACTCCCCAATGCCTTAACATGCGCTGGAACAGCTATGATTGGCTGGAGGACTTTTGCTACAATAGCATCTTGTCGATCTGAATTACTTCATATTGAGAGGTCTGTCCGCACTCTTCTTAATTTGTGCTTCAACTGTAAACCTCACTCATGTATACCAGGTATTATTAGGTCATGGAGCAAAGGTACGTACATCACCCCGCGTCAAGTTTCGCAAAATGAAAGAGCTATTGAAAATTGAAAAGGCCGTGATTCCCCAGAATGATTAAGTGTGTATGCGATTTCGACTCTGTTGTGAGCTGCGAAGCTCGGTCTCTTTCGCTCGAATGCCCGGGGGCCAGCAACGGAACGATTGGCTGATTCGTTCCTGCTGCGGGTTAAGGTTGTCATCCAAACTTGGCGCTTATGTGACGAGGATGCTTGAAAGAAAGCCCAGCATCTCTATTTTCGACTTCTATCCAATGCACCGTGCTTTGGGGTCATGTCACAGCAGTGCATTGGTCTGTTGTGAGCATTTTTCGGGCCAGGCAGCTGGCGGCAAGAACCAGAGCCGCCGAACTTGGCGTTGACAGAGGTGCTGCTGAAGCTACCTGCACTAAGGAGGTATCGTCCTCTTGTGGGCACCACCACGCTGCCGCAAATTTGGTGGGAGGACATTTTCGGATCAGTGCATTCTTCGAAATACCCTTGGTCACTGTCCCAGGAGCCCCCCCCTTCTTAGGTACTCTGCTCGAGGTACCTGAAGCCCCCCACTTGTCCTTTGGGATTAGGAGCCTGAAAATGGTCTTGCCCCCTCGCCGGCAAAAGTTACTCACCCTCAGCCATTGACAGGCGAACCACCAGGAACTGTACCTACCACCAGACGGTGCCGCACCACGTTTCACTAGATTTTCTAGCCTAGAGGTGCAGTACTCGATATCTGTAGGACCTCTTCCATTTCTTTTTTCCTTGCCACGTTCCATCTGTATATTGCGAGGTTAGAAATTTTCTCGCCCTTTGCAAAAGCTAATCTGCTATGATTAAGTAAACAGGCCTTTTTGTACATCATGTCTGCCCGCCAGCAAGTTCAAACAGCCTGTTAACGCTTCCGCTAAAGACGAGTAAGGGTGAGCGTCTCCGCCTGTCCGCCTATGCGCATAATAGCGCACCGTACTTGCTCTATTTATGTAGGTAATCCCCTGCGGCTTACCTGCTTTTTTAGCTAATTTTCCCCTTAGCCATGTGCTATATCAACTTCGCAATACCGCTGCTTGTTTGCAAATGCGATGCACCGTCCGGCTGCTCATCGCTCGCCGGCCGCTTACGTGAGACCATCTCTCGTCAGGAGATTTTCGTGTACCACCTCGGACGACTCTTCTCGAGTCCGAGGTCGAGCCGGGCCAATGCGCTGTGAGAATAGTTCAGCGGAGTAAAACCGTAGTTCTTTTAGAAAGACCTCTGCCCGCTCAGCACATTCAAGATATAGCTGCTGTCGGGCTGACGCGGTGACGCAGTAGTCTGCTCTTGCAACGGGCGACGTACAAAAGCAAGTCGACTTCAAGACTTCACTACGCGAATTGTTCCAGCCTGCTGCCACTACACTTAGCATAGACCGCGATTAGCTAATCTTCTCATATCTAGTATTCCTTGCGCCACTAGTTCATCAACCAGCCTGCTAAGTTTCCACGACTAACTTAGAACACTCTAAATAGTTACTGCTGCTTTGCAGATGCGACATAATCATTTTATTGACAGTGAAAGCGTAAGTACCTACATCTCTGAAGCAAATTCTTAGATGGTACTTTGAGCAACCCCTTCATACGCCCTATTAGTCCCTCGACACCGGGCAGTCTCACTCAACAAGTCAAAAGCAACCTGACACAGCCAGACATCTCTCTCATCAATCGCCCCATACCACAGTCCACACCCCGTCTCTGTGCCAGATTACGGGCGACATTTAATTTTCCATAGCATCGGCGCGGGTGACACCAGCAACACTCTGGTGATTTTGACCTCCAATGGGCGCGCCGCACTCGGGACAGCGCGCCTGCTCCATGGGCATCCCGCATTCGCCAATCGCAAACTGCATGTCAAGTTAACTATCAACACGCAAATAATTCCCTTCCCCGGAAGGATCAATAACGTACCGGATGTCCGTTGACACAATTGTACCAGTGACCAGAGTGCGTGGCCATCCCATCTCGCCCGCTGAGCATGGCCTTTTTGATAGCCGCAATCTCTTCCGGGCTGACCGCCTCATACCGTTCCGCTTGTAGTAGCTGAATAGTTTTACGAACAGCTTCCTTCAACGTGTCAGCATCTTGAAAGGGTTGCTCGCACATGCGGGATGCTGTCTCGAGGTTTTCCCTCGCCTCGTCCAGGAAACCGCTCGCTTTGGCCCTTTCTGCCTCATCGAGACGCGGGCGGAACCCGTACATGTGCGCCATTCTGGCATGATACAGGATTGCCTCGGCAGCGAGCTTAGGCAAAGCGTCAGTACGGGAGCGGGAAATTAACGACGAGCAAGACTTCAGAAACAGTTTGGCAACCAGAAGCGGAGAACCGCCTGGCCATTTCGGTGGCTGCGCGAAATTTGCAGCTTCGATTGCGGGCAAAAGATCAAATATGTCTTCCAGTATGATAAAATCCAGCTTGACAAGTGCCATCTCGCCGGCAAGGACCACACGACAATCTCTCTCGACCCGGCGAGGTGGGCTCTGCATTGACAGAGCCGCGAGGCCGTCGCTCAACGTATTTCGCCCAATTCCTCGCAGCGCGTGAATCGTGGCTTCATAAAGCTTATGATGGGGCTTATATCTCTCCGAAGATTCATTGCAAAAAGTCTTTATCTTGTGACGCAGCTTCTTGTTTTCCCTGTAGCGAATCTGCAGGCGCCGAATAAGGGTCTCAGTCTGGCCTGCGGGGAGAACATTGATGATTCGTAGAATACCCGAATGTGATTCGGCGAGCTCCCGTTGTAGCTTTTCCAGCTCCATGTTGATATCTTTTAGCTTTTCTTTGCCTGCGACTAGAAACCTTCTGCCTGACTCGTCTGCGACTGCTCTGTTGACAATTCGATTGTAGCGTCGCGTCGCATATTGCCTCACCGGACGCTTGCAGTCCGGACACTGCGGCATCTTGGCAAATTCGCCGGAAAGTTCGACCAAGCCCGTGAAGCGACCTTCAACATCAGACACATATGCTGTGTGCATGCCCATGAGTCCGTCTAAGGTCTCGGCTGTTAAAAAGTGTCCGCAGCCTAGAACGACAATGGGGTCCACGTCAACGTCGATTTCGGTATATGTTTTCATCTCGAGCAGATCAACCCGCGAGTCCTGCGACTCGCCACAATCTTTGCACAAGTCCTCAGGGCAGGCTTCACCGCAGATGCCCGGGCAGCGATGGCCGCAGGAGAGCAGCTTGGCGCACCGCTCGTTGCAGGGCAGCCGGGTGCATGTTGCTGAGCACGGCATCGCACAGGTGCCCTGGTGCTCACAGGACCATTCGCACTTTTCCACACAGGGGGTGCAGCCCTCACTGCACGTTGCAGCGCATGTCGAATGCTGGCATCGTACCTCGCAGGGGGCAACACACAGGCCGCACTCGGTGCCTGCATGACAGGGCTTGCGACAGTGGTGATTGCATGTTCCAAATGGTCTCTCGCAAATCTTTCGGCACTTTATATGAAAAATCTTTCCAGTCGTGTCGCCAGCTTGTTCGCGGCAACTGCCACATGTTCCGGGACAAATGTGGCCACATGACAGCGGAGTTGAGCAAGGTGCTGGGCATCGATAGCCTTCTGCGGTCACCGACTTGAAGCATGCAATGTTCACATTGTGGTTGCAGTCGGGTACAACCTTCTCGACAATTACATCGCAGCGGATCGATTCGGGGTTCTGTGCAGAGTGGCATGCCACAGTGTCCTTGACATGGCCGCAAGGCAGCTCGACATCTCTCAGCGGCACGAGACACTTCCCGCAGTCTTCGCCGCATGTTGGCCTCTGACACCCATGTCCGCATGGCTCATGTAGACGCTGGCAAGGCTGTGGACAGGAAAATATGTTGTGCATACTTTCCGAGTGGCAGCGCGCGAGGCACATGTGCCCACAGTCGGCGAGGCGCCAAGAGCATGTCTGCGAGCACCCTCCTTCGGGACTGTGCCGAGAAAAGTCGTCGGGCTTAGATACATTGATCGGCATTTCTTTGTGCCGCGGGCAGCACAATGCAAGGACTTTCCCAACAGAATCCGACGCTCGCATAAGCTCTATAACAGTCTGCCACATCTTGACATTTGTATAGGTCTCCGCGTTCCCGATGAGGTACATTCCATGTTGCGCTCGGCTGAGAAGAACATTGATTCGGTTCGTAGTTTTCAAAAAGCCACCCTTTCGAGCGTTGTTGCTTCTGACCAGAGATACAATCACGACTTTTGCTTCCTCACCCTGGAAGTTGTCCACCGTAGCAACGCGCAGCAGATCGCTGAGCTTCTTCTTCGCCAGAGCGCCTTTCCGTTGCGTTGATGGCACTTCTTCTTGCGAGTCGGATTCCTCACTATCAATACCATCTCTATTCAAGGCATCCTGATCTCTGTCACTGAGAACCACCTCAAAGTCATTGCGCATCGATGCTCGAAGCTTTTAAAGCTGCCCGGTGTATGGCGTCAGCACTGCAATGTCACTGCTGCTGTACACACCCTGGCGAACAATGTGACGAACGAGTGCATGGACCAAGCCAACCTCCCAGTCATTCGAATGCGACTTGTGGTGCATCTCGGCGCTCTCGCCAGCCTCCAAATGGCCGTGGTCAAGCCAAAAGAGGTTTTTTCGCATGCCCACAACGTCTGGGAGGTCGCAAGTGCTTGGGTGGTCTTGAATATTGGGATAAAGTGTCTCGCGTACAAGCGAGGATATGGAGGGGCGCATGCGTCTCTGCACTTCCAATTGAGCCAATGGGATTTTGGGTCGCCCTGAAATCCCGAATGAGAGTCGCTCGAACTGGCTGCGGTCAAGCTGGTACAACATCCCTTGCTTGCTCTCCAACGACAAGCCAAAGTTGTTGATTTGAGGCCGCAACTGCTCATGGTCTCCAATCTGAATGATGTGCTCCACGGTCGGCAGTAGTGCTGAAAGGATGTGAGCCTCCATCACCTCACCTGCTTCTTCGCAAATGACAACTTTGCATTTCAGTCTCTGGAGAGTCGATATTCGCTTCGCCAAGCCCGTGGTCGTAATGCCAATGACATCAGCCTCTTGAAGCACCCTCCGATCGACTTCGTCATGAATATTCGACACTTGTCGCTGTTCTGTAGAGGTGCCCTCAATCGTTTCGACCAAGTCATTAACAGCGTGCTTGTATCTATCCATGCCCCAAAAGTCCATAAGATGTTGTCGCTCAGATGCAGAAAGAGAATTGACGCTTGTAGAAGCCTTCCGGAGAACAGCATCGAAATCTATCTCGGTCTCGGCGCCATGGTCATGAGTTAAGTCCGCGTCCGTCTTAAGTGATGCCCATATGTCGAAAGGGTGTCGTCCCACGAATTCGAATCCGTCTTCATCTGTCTCTGCAAATTGGGCAGCTATGTGTGGATGGTACCGTGAGAGGTACTTTTGCATGTTTTCCCACTTTATTTGTCGTAATGCACCATGCGCTCTGCCCAGTATCTTCTCGATGCTCTCCGCTGCGGCGTCCAAGTCTTGGTAGGACATGGCAAGACCATAGCGCTCAAATCGGCTTTTGGATTCGCTTTGTGTAACTGCCCGTAGATTGTGTCCCTCTAGAACAGCTGAATGACTCTGGCCACCAATGCGGATGACCTTTTTAGTGCCATCTTTTAGTATATGCTCGAGAAACTGGTCCAGTGCATGGTTTGTGTAGCATCTGACGTTTGCTACCGTCAGTCGTTTGTGTCGTGTTGACTCAACAGCAAACCTTACATGGACTTGTCATAGCCTGCAATGGCGCCCAGAACCGTTGAACTCGATCCTCAGGGAGACCTGATTATCGAGATACCAAAACTTAATAAGGCCACGCGAGAGGCATCAGATGAGCAGATCGAACAAGACGATGTTCACGCCCTAGAATTCTCATCTCCGAATCCAGGTTTGCAGGCATTTCCCATTACCCCCGCGCCACTTTGCTCACGAGACCTACTTAGCGAGCGACACCGCTGAACGACAAATTCTCCACTTCCGCGTCTCAAGTAAACACTTGCAGCTGGCCTCCGATCGTGCAAGGTGTATGTTTCTGCATCCATTTGCGGAATCTAACAAAGATGAAGTCACGGGACTTTTCAAGTGGACCTTCGAGGCACTGTTTGACGCGGAGGCTTTCCGAATTGTTCTTTCTGTCATTCATGGCCAGAGTAAAATTGTTCCCGAGAGAGTATCAGTCCGGTTGCTGGCAGAAATATCAGCCGTTGTTGAAGATTTGCAATGTCGCGACGCCGTTTGATTCTACGCTAAGGTATGGCTTCGCTACCTGGGTGAAGAGTTGCCAGTAGAAGTATCTCCGGATCTGTTCGATTGGATCTTTATCTCTTCTGTCTTTGATGAGCCGTCAATCTTCACAGCAACAACCCAGACAGCCATACGTACGTCAACAGATGCAATGGGGGACTACTTGCCGCCGATTGCACCTAGGATTATAGGTACACCAGCAATGTCTCTTACGTTGTGCCAGCTGACGAGGCTTTAGATACCATACAACAGCGCAGAAGAGATCTCATATACGACCTGCTCACCACCCTGGATAAGAAAGTTGTGGAACTTCGTTTGGGCCTTCACAGCAACTGCACAGTTGAATGCACAGACATGCTGCTTGGAGCGCTTATACGCCACATGACGTCTATCGGTGTTTTCAATGCACCTGAAAGTCTACCTATGGAAATGAGTAGAAAAAGTGTCCAGTTGATTCTGCAGGAGATTCGTGGATTCAACTCTCCTCTCATTTTCGTATCTGGATAGGATACAAGAGAAACCGGTATTTGGGATCTTCGCCAGGAAAGCGACGACATTTATGACCATAAATCATCCTACAGACACGGGAAATCAAAGACAACAAGCGGATTCAAGGAAAATGATGTCAAAACGACAGCATACCTGCAGCGGAGCATCGCTCATCATGATTGTTCGTTGGGTACTCATATGGAGCCTATCATTTGCGATGTGGAATCTAAAATCCATGGGCTAAAGCTAGAGGATTATGCAAGACAATGAACAAGGTCGCAAACCCTGTAGCAAATATGACATGCTCTACCACCCTCAATATCCGTTGCTACTTCTTCAACTACATACCGTGGTTACTACAGACTTGGCCGCTAGAAAATGCTGGCGTTGGTATCTTCGTCTGATAGAATACTATACCCTCTTCTAAGTAATCGTCCGCTTGCTTGGTATTCGCTGATCTGGAAATGAAGTATAGCGCAGTCTATGATATTGCATACTTTGGAAACTCCAGGATAATCGAACTCGGATACGGAAGTCGAAGACGGGTGCCAACATAGGGTCACTATTCACTGATTTGTAAATATACTGTGCGAAGTTCCTTATTCGTCGAGAACTGGGCGGCAAATAGAAAGTTATAACTAGTAGCTATAAAATTGGATAAGTACGAATTCTACGATGAGGTGCTGCGAGCCACTAAAACGGTAATGTAGGCGAGCCCGACAAACCGCACTTCAAGTACCCAACAAGATGTATAGAATGATGTCTTGGAAACTGTAGTATGTATTATCGCCCGCCCGCGTCGACGTTGGCAATGCTGTGCCGTGCCATTTAACCAACCATTTTTTTTCTGAACGAAACAAGTAATTTAAAAGCAACTGTTGTCGCACCGCGTCTCCTAATGTACACTGTCTCATACCAATTACAGCTGTGGGAATGCCTGCGCTTGCTGTTTGAATGCCGCTGTTGGAAACATTTCTGCAGGCACAAGCGTGACATGACACGGCTGAGAATTCTATTCGGTGGCGTTTCCATTTCAATGATAAATCATGACTCTGACGTTGAGCTACTCGCTCAGAGAGAGCTACGACAACCCAACGATCTAGAACAGAGACATGCCCTAGCACCGCAGCCCCTCACATGCTGTTTTATTGATACTTTGTTACATTACCCTAAATCTAACTGTGTTTACTCTTTAGCGGACGTACTAGCCGTAATCACTTGTCTGTCAGAGCTCGTGCGAAACATATCTTGTGATGTTGGGTCGCTCCGCGTCTTACCTGAGCGCGTTAACTCTCGGTAGACTCGGTCAGCACACAGCTATAACCCAAATATAAATATCCTCACCCCCTTCTGCATGAGCAATTGTTCCACTCGCCACAGTCTCGTGGTGCAACCTGCTCAGCATCGGTTGAGCTCGCGGTTATGGCCGTCCTCGCGCCATCCCAGGCAGTGCATGCCGATCACAACGGTTCAAGGCCATCAAACAATATGTTTGCTCATCTGAAAACTGCGATCTCTAACCAACGCCTCAATCAGATTGAGAAAATCAGAGCGAATGGAATAGGAGATGTAGTAGCTCTACCCCAGTTGGCTGTCTGCGGCGATCAATCTGCGGGTAAAAGCTCGGCCTTGGAAGGGATCACCGGCATTCCCTTCCCGAGGAAGGAAGGGCTTTGCACTAGGTTTCCGACTGAGATCACTCTGCGGCACTCCGGAGCTGGCCAACCAATGACAATCACGGCAACAATTCGGCCACACGCGTCTCGAAGCCGAGAGGTTCAGAAGACGTTGTCGTCTTATCGGAAGAACGTCACGGATATGTCAGAGCTCCCTTCCATCATTGAAGAAGTGTCAAGACTGATGGGAATTCGAGGCTACACGAAAACTGAAAACGCATGCGCATTTGCCTCTGACGCTCTCCGCATAGAAATAACTGGCCCTATAGGGCTACATTTGAGCGTTGTGGATTTGCCGGGGCTCATTTCTGTTGCCAACGAGGAGCAAACTGAGGAGGACATCGACGCAATTCACAATATGGTGGCCACATATCTCGAGAGCTCTCGGACGATTATTCTTGCCGTCCTTCAAGCAAGTAACGACATGGCGAACCAGGCCATTATAAAACTGGCCAGGAAGCATGACCCTGAGGGCGAGCGGACTGTCGGAATTATTACTAAACCAGACTTGATCAACGAGGGCGCAGAGAGCAAAATAGCTCTCGTTGCTAAGAATGAAGACACCATAAAACTCAAGCTCGGCTTCTTCTTGGTCAAAAATCCCAGCCCTTCTGAGCTTAAGGAGGGAATATCTATGGATATGCGGTCCAGACGAGAGCAGCGCTTCTTCGCGTCGCCGACTTGGGCAAGCCAAAAGCTTGATATGAGTCGGGTGGGAGTGGAAAATTTGCGAAGATTTCTTCAGGACCTACTTGATACTCACATTGAAAAGGAGCTGCCAAAAGTCCGAGAAGAAATCAAGAAGAAACTTGTTGCGACAGAGACGGACTTAAAATCGATGGGACAAGCACGCCCAACCGTTGGACACATCCGATCGTTCATGACTAGCTTGAGCATGAGGCTCTACGAGCTAATTCAAGCAGCATTGGATGGCAGCTACCATAGTGTTGATGCTGAATTTTTTGCTGATGATGGAGTGTCCAGGCTTCGCGCCCGGGTACAAGAAGTGAACACAGACTTCTCAGATAACATGCGCGATCATGGGCAGAGGAGGAGAGTCGGATCGCATGCGCGGTCCTCCAAGTCAGATCACGGGTCAATCAACGAAACAGCCGAGCTCATTGTGAGTAAAGCAGAAATGATGCAATGGGTGAAAGAGGTATGTCTTTTTCATGTTCCAGATGTAATCGGTTGTAACGCATGAGTAGGCCTACCGTCGGACTAGAGGTCGTGAACTGCCGGGTAACAATAATTCTGCCCTTCTCTCGGAGCTCTTTCACGAGCAATCACGCCGATGGAGCACCATTGCGGAAGATCATGTCCAAAAGATCATGACAATAGCATTGCAATGGGTCGAACTCGCTGTCAAACGGCTCATCCCCGAGGAGAAATTGCGGGGTGAGGTTCGGTCGATTCTGCAGGATTGGCTCGAAAATGGTGAGGCTGAGGCATTGGCCGAGCTTCGCAAGCTCATCGATGATGAGCAAGGCAGCCCTATGACCTACAATCACTATTACACTGATAACGTTCAGAAATCGAGACTGGATGCTCAGAAGGTGGCGATGCGTTCCGCCGTGAATGAAGTGACCCAACATGAGTGGGGGGGCAAGCTTCACATCAGTAACCACCAAGACGACATTAACCGGTTCATGTCCGCCATTGAGGCAAGGATTACAGTTGACATGGATGAGCAAGCATGCAAAGAGGCGCTAACAGAGCTCGAGTCCTACTACAAAGCACGTTTTACTTTGGTAATCATCAAGGACTAGCTGCTAATCTGATCTGCAGGTGGGTCGCAAAACGTTCGTCGACAACGTCGCCCGACAGGTAGTAGAGCGACATATCATTTCGCCTCTTCCGAGAGCATTCTGTCCAAATTCGGTTTCGCAGATGTCTGACGAAGAATTGGAACGTATAGGCTCAGAACCTGATCTTCAGAGGCTTCACCGGGAGAGGCTCTCGGCCACAGCACAAGGGCTCAGGAAGAGCCTGGCTGATATGCAGAGAACTATCTAGCCTTTGCCTTTGGCAAGGAGGCTAGGGGCGAGACTAGGGACGCTTTTGACTTGGCCATCGTTTCTTTTTTGCTTACAATGAATCCGGCTGTTTCGTCGATTGACTCGTAAAATGATTTGGTGGAGGCGTATTTGATTTAGCTTTCTATATACTCTGCCCTTTAGCAGTGGTTTTCCCACGAGGTTTTCCCACTGCTGGTACGCGAATGCGGAAGGGCTAATTGTTAAATTGACTCGATAATTAGACGGCGTGTGCATGTGTCTACTTGTTATCTATCGTCTTGCGGAACCCCATTGGGACTACAGTAATGGCGTGTTGAAGAACCTCCGATCCAGCCTGTCTGCTGGCCATTGCCCAGCGGTCATCAATCCAGATTTCTAATCAAAAGGCAAGCTTCCCATAGTCTGCCAGGCAAGTTCCCTTATAAAGTACCTTAGGCATATCAATATCTCCATATTCAAGAGAAGGGCAGCTCGTTCATGTTGCTGGCGGCCAAGATCGCCGACGCATCCGACGCAAGACACAAACAGGCGGCGCGTCGTGAGTGGCGCAGCCAACTTTTGGAAGGCCTTGGAGACATAGACAGACGCCTTCGGGAGATGGGTATGCACTTCAGGCTGACTCAAGGTGGTGAGCTGTAACAACATGGCATTGCATCGGCGAACGTTGAGAAAACTGTACTATTGAAGAAACTGAATGACAAGGGATCAATTCGAATGCAGATGGGAGAGGTGTATTACCGAAGTGGGCGTTATCTGGGTTGTCGCAGCGGCCCGTGCTTGTGCTTAGGGTTGACGTCAATACCGTTTGAGGATGAGCAAGGCTAAGGGATCTGTCAGTGTAGTGCCAGCGGAAAGACACACCAAGCGTGACGGCTCGGAAGGCAGGCGTATGAAACTAAGCCGGCACCCATTGGTAGCTTCGCGGGGGAGCAGAGTACTGAATTCGTGCCTCCGTCGTAAATCAAAATATTGACTACAGCAGGTAGTCCGGTCAATCTGGCGTCTTCTCGTGAGCGTTAGAGTTAGTACTAGACCGCAGAAGGGGCCAGCCTCGTGCATACCCGTCTTTGCGAGGGGATACTAGAGAGGTAGGCTCCTCCAGAAAATACACCACTGAGCATCCGAGAGCGCTGCTCTTGTGCATGCTTGTGCATGGTACAATCTTCGCGTCGAGGTTGTCGAGCGCGTCGTGCCCAGCCCTCCTAGAGTGAGATGAATGTTGCACAGGGGTGGGTGTGACGGGGCTACATTCTATTTCGCGGCATGCGCCGTGGTCGGAGACGCGAGGACCACCCTAGGGCACCAATTATGTGGTTGGAAGGGCCGATGGTGCACTGCACACGCATGCGCAAGAGTGGTGCATTTCGATGCTTCGGCCGTATTGCACAACCTGACTGGTATGAACCACCTTCTGCACCCCAGCCTTTGGATCTTCCGATTGTCAACGTCACCGCCAACGGCTACGGGGCTCATCATTTCCAATACCGAGCTATGCACTCCGCATATGGTCGGTTGGCGAACACTCAAACCTTCGTCCTAATGCGGCGGGACCGCAAGACTACTCTTGGGGCGGAACTGCGACCCTCATGTAGTTCAGACGAATCATCAAGCATGCTACCTTCGCGTGTAGCGCCAGTTCAGGCTTCATGCAGAATCTAGAGTGTCCTTATTTCGTCCTACCAGAGCAAGAAAGACTCAGACGACGTCGCATATAAGCCTGCTGGTGACCTCTGCCCATGCTTAAAAGCGGTACATATCAGGTCATTACCTCGCAACTTGGATGAAATGAGTCCTCCCAAGCGAAACTGCAAAGCCCGTGGTAACAGCAATTCGATGTCGAATCACGCAGAAGCACCACTGGATACACTCCGCGTCGGTTCCCTCCTTGCGACGATGGAACAATGAGTTGCATCCTGATACAGTCACGGGCAAATTGGCATTCCTCAAAATCTCCACACATCTGTCGCTAATATAAGCCTCCAGACATCTGGCAGCTCCGCATCATTATTGCGACCGAGAAAAAAATGGTGATGAGGCTTAAAAGCATTTAGATGAGTTTTGCCCTCATTTCAAGGTCCGCTTCGAGAAGGTTTGGCAGGTTTTGGTTCTATCGAAATTGGTTAGAGAATTAAATGCTTTACAAAAACTGGAAGCCCATTCTGCCCATTAGTGTACCACCTGAGACCTCATTATGTTGATTTGAGTAGCTTATATCTCGATACAGTAAAAACCGAAATGGGTGTCGCGGGTGGCTTTAGTTAGTTTTAGTACTAAGGTGGGCAGGGCTACTCGCTATTTTTGGCCGCTGACACTGCAAGTACCATGCTTGTATTCCCACCATGCCACTGTAACAGACGCTGAAAATAACCACTGGAA